ATTTTAGTGTTATCGGCATCAGTTGATTGCACATGACAAGGAAGTCACAACTGCATAGACGGTTTGCTCTGCTTTCATCACCAAATCCCCTCCAGTGAGGAGCACACGCACACCCACATACCTCATTAATACACTTAAAATTCACAACCTTTTAAAAAATATATATCCTTCACTGATTGATTTGATTGATTGATTTATTTGTAAACAATTTGTCATCCTCCTTAGCACAGTGCTTAAACTGGTAATTACAGCAAGGCTTCAAAAGCAGTAATGACTGTTTTGTCTATGTTCTGATTGTGTTACTGCCTGAAACCTAATAGTGTCCATCATGCATTCACAAAGTGGAGTGTCATGCTTTTTTTTTTGCTGCTCCAACTCCTGCCAGAAGGATGATCATTGAACAGGAGGAGGTGGGTTGAATCATAAACTGCTTTGCAACAATGTCCAGTTATAAAACACTACAGAAATAAATTTGACTTAAACTTACAGCTAGGCAAATCGAACCAGTGGGAAACCTTGATGCCCTTCTCTATGGCAGCTCTGCAATAGGCGCATTACTCAAAGAGTCACTGTAAAACGGCAAGGTAAAATATGCAGTAGGGTCCAAAAATCTGTGATGAATAGTGAAAATGCTTCTATTTTAAATTCCTTTCTAATTTAAAACAATGTTTTCATTACAAATTATATTATCAGCATAACAAATTGAGCAAAATGTGTTTGTTTTTGCTTTAATTCCTTAAAATCCCAGGCCTATTACATACTAAGGTTTATTATCCAGTAACTACAGGGACTGGTTGCAAACTGGTTGAGCTATTTTTAGGTTATAGAAGTGTGTAATAAAACTTTGCCCCCACTGCTGGACGCTGGCCATTTAAAGGGTTCATGGGCTGGCATGGAGAAGTTTGTGCAAACGCCTCTGATCAGTAGATCAAATCCACCTGACAGTTATCTGAAGGTGAACTTCAGCGGAAGCAACAAGACTCAAGAATAAATAAATAAATAATAAAAATAAATAAATAAATAAATAAATCTGACCTTTTTGGTATAAAGGCCTTAACATGGTCCCATGTCACAAATGCCCACATTTGACCTATAAGTAACATAAAATCCTCAATATTTCTCTGTTGTTCATGTATAGTTTTCAATAAAAACCTGCCAAAAAAAAAAAAATACATAAAAAAAAGCAGTGTAGTCTTAGACTTTTGAACCTACTGTATGTTAATGTCTTCAAAGGCCAGTGTTAGCTTAGCACTAACATACTCTTAGAAACCCCATAGGGGTGCTAGTTGAAATCAGCATTACTGTATAGTTGTGTTTCTTTCTGGTTTTGTTATTTTTGGCCCAAACTGAAAGTCTGTTAATTATAGTTCTCCTCTGCATAGCTTTCATTATGAAGTATGAATCAGTAAGGAGCTGCAACCATATTCATCAGAAACCATATTATTTATTTCCAATATTTATGTCAAGCTGTTAGCCTTGAGATTTGATCACCGCTTTAACTACAAGGCATTCTAAATGTTCATTTATTGATTATAACTTTGTTCTTGATGTTATGACGCTTTCTCGGTCCTCAGTGATTTTGATGTATATGATGTATATGTACTGTATTGTTGTATTAATTAATGTAGACACATAAAAAAGGGCAGTTTTTCTTTTCAAGCTATTACTAATTTGAAACCTATGAAGTTGTGACAGTTGTGTCACTTTAGAATGATATTATACATTTTTTGACAGCAAAAATGGTTTCAATGAATGGTTTATTGAAAACATTGTTTTTAAATGTTTGAATAGTAGTGTGATTCTCTAACTAACTTTGTAATGAATGTATGTAATTACATTTAGTATAATAAAACAGCAACTTCAATAATTGATAACTATAATTTTAAAAACTCTTTAATTCTATTGACAGTTTAAGAATTAAATAAAAGTATTATTATCAATTATATATTTATGTAATTGTTTGTTTGTGTGCAATTCATCCCTTGAAAGGCCAGAACCAACTTTTTAATCAGTTAACATTTATTACATTCTTCTATAATTTGAGAATAACTTGAGTCTGTATTGTTTCCAGCTAACTACTGAGTAATGCACATTAAGATGTACCAAACTTGGGATTTGAAGGGTTAATTATATAAAGTCAATTGAATGTATAGTAAAATAACAGTCACTCTTGGCTTCTAAGGTGTATTTACGGTTAAGGTGTATTTAAGGTGTATTTGTCCATTAACAATCATTGTCTCAGAGGATGTTTAGGTAAAGTGAATAAGCATGACTGTCAAATATTGGCACATGGTTTTGCAATAAGCATGAATCACTCTCACTGTAAAAGCTGCAGAAAGGTTTTGTCCTCCTGGTAGAGCTCTCTGGGTTCTGTGCTTCTTTTATTTACCCCGGCCGTACAGTGACAGATTACGGTGTGATGTCACAGTGTTTAGAGGTGCAGGGCTGAAGCCAGGCTTTTTATAAAGTGTGTAATTGTGATAAATCAGCTTTAGCAAAGGCCGGCCACGTGGCCTAATGCTCGATGATGGCTCTGAAATATACAAATGTATAAATGTTATGCCTTGCTCGGAGTTATTAAGGCATGAATCAAGGCCATATTTTAGGAGGTCGATCCGGAGGGTTTCCTTTTTTAATACCTACCTCAGAGAGGCTAACTCGAGCCAGATGTTCCAAAGGAGAGAGAGAGAATAGAGACCCGGCCTGTTGCATGATTCAGAAACATGCCGTGTTACACACAGGCTAGCCTCTGAAACAGACTCTCTGGGAATTGTACAGACCATAATAATTTACTACGAGTTACTACTGCTGATAAATATCATCTGACGTTTGGATCGTATTGACCTTGTAAGCCAGTCTGAAACGTCCTGCAAAGTCACTTAATTTTTTTTGCCATTCAGTATAATTTTAACATGACTAACATGACTTTTTTATATAGCAATAGTTTGGGGAAAAATCAAAATTACACAATGTTGAAACCAAAAACACACAATGTTGAAGCCAAAGATAAAATGCACAGTTTTCCCTCTATCCTGGAAGTTTGCTTTTTCAGTTTTGCACTGGAGCTAAGAGGCTAATTAGCTAACAATTAATGGAAACTTATCCCCACCTATTAGCATTGTGCACACTGCATGTCTACATCATCACATGCTTGTGTATCAAGATGTTAAAGAAGAATTCCGTCAATTTTTCAAACTGTTTTTATAATTCAATCACTGAGATGTGAACAAAGTCATTCAGAGTGGTTTGTTGTGAATTGGTTGATAGTAGAGAAGTTGACTGGACACTTGTACACCTACTCTTTGATGCAATTTTCTAATCAGCAATCATGTGGCAGCATTGCCGTGCATAAAATCCAGTAGGTTCAAGCCAGCAGCTTCAAGTAATGTTCACATTAACCATCAGAATGGGGAAAATGTGTGATCTCAGTGATTTTGATTGTGGCTTGATTGATTGGTTTGAGTATTTCTATAACTGCTGATCTACTGGTATTTTTAATAACAATGTCTCTAGAGTTTACTCAGAACAGTTTAATAGAACCAAAACATTCAGTGAGTGGACAAAAACACCTTGTTGATGAAGAAAGGTCAATGGAGAATGTTCCACTTTGTTCAAGCTGACAGAAAGGCTGTAGTAATTCAGATAATCACTCTGTACAGGAAAAGAATCTCAGAATCCATAACACATCAAACCTTAAGGTGGATGGGCTACAACAGCAGAAGACCACATCAGGTTCCACTTCTGTCAGACAGGAACAGAAAGCTAAAGCACCAACAGCATGAATCTATGAACCCAACCTGCCTTGAGTCAACAGTCCAGGCTGGTGGAGGTGGTGTAATGGTGTCATTTTTAAAATATTTCTGTAAGGTAGCATGAAATTCTTTTATAGGCATGAAATTCTTCAGATGCTTTGTTCCTATCACCACCCCTGCATACAATTCTGAGTGGCATATTTCATATCAAACCACTCTGAATGATCTTCTTTATATTTATCATTTAATTATAAAGAATTTTTAATGAAAGGAATTTCCCTGTTAAGTAATCGTACAAACACTATTATTAAGTAATCTTGCAAACACTTAAAACACATCAGATTAAATTCTGCCCTGTTTTACTTTATACAGTGCTGAAGCCAGAGTGAGTAATCAGGAGAATTCCTAAGTACCAGTAGCATTCCTGTGAGCTAATCTATAAAATCATGCATATAAGCACAACAACACTCAGACAAACTATAGATGTCACAAGTGTATATCTGTAGTAATTTAAGAATTAAACCAGCAGCTACATCATTTAAGGTGGAATAGGAAACGATGTACCGCTTACATCCAGACAACTGTGCATGTCCTGACATGTAGCTTCACTATTTGAGGTAGAACAAAAATTCAGATGAGAAGAACATCAGTCGCTGTAGATCAGCGTATCATATTCAGTGCAAAGGTGTGGCTGATGCAACAGGGTTCATTACATTGTTTATGGGGTGGCTGATAGCCTAGTGTTAGGCGAGGTGAGCCATCAACTGGAAGGTTGCAGGTTCAAATCCCATGCCTGACTAGGTATACCTGGTCATGCCCTTGGGCAAGGTGCTTAACCCCCCACTGTCCCGGGCAGTGCTGCTCTACTGGCGATGCTGTGCTGCTCCCAAATTGGGCATAGTTAGGCAGCAAAATGATGAATGTCCCATGTAGGACCAATAAAGTAAGTTTTTTGTATGTGAGTCTTATAAAGCTGAAGAGCAGAAAACCAGCATGGCACCAAGAAGACAAGAAAGAAAAAGCTGCTTAAGAAGGATGAAGACATATCTGAGCAGGTGAGCAGTGAGAAATGCTGACTTTAACTCATTTAGCTAACATTAGTTTGAAGTATATTGACTTAAGACATGTAATTTAAGATAAAAAGCTTTCACCAGTTTTCATCACTAGCTAGCCACCTTGGGAATCTTGGTGTAGCACGCAAATAATAAATATAAGTAAGAAATGAACATTTTAGAAAAAGTTACTTACTGAACGAAGGCAGTGTGGTGTGTGACTACAGTTGGAGCTGCTGAGTTTGTCTGCATCACATAACTCCCAGTCTGAAAACAAGTCCCACTCCAGCCCCGCACAGTGCATATTTATTCAGTGTTTCAGTGTAACAGTGCAAATAGCAAAAGCTAGTCCTAGATCAGCACTTTCACTGTGAGGACTTTGATACGCTACACCTTCAGATCATTGACAGCTGCCAGTAGTTTCAGTCTCGCACTGCAACGTACACAAAGGAGTCCGATGAAAAGGATTTTGAACAGAGAGCAGGTTTTGACACATCAGTTGAGGACATGCCAAATGGCTTTGTGTGTGAGTGTGTGAGTGTGTGTGTGTGTGAGAGAGAGAGAGAGAGAGAGAGAGAGAGAGGCATCAGTTCCTCGCTGTAAAATATTCATACAGCGCAGCTAACATTACCAGCTCCTCAACACAACAGTGTAGGCCCCTACTTCAGCTCAAATATTCATGCCGACTCGCATGCCTGCATGCTTCACACACACCTCCATCTGTTCCGAGAAAAGCTCCTATGCCTCTCTCACACACACATGTACACACAAAAGCTTTGTCTTTAATCAGCGTTCCCCAAAAAGTGGCACTACTATCAAACAACTCACTTCAACTTTTCAAACATTTTCACATTTCACTGCTTGACACATTTCACTGCTGCTTCAAAAAACGTGTGAGTACACAGACAAGAGCTGATTTCTATTTTAAGTATTTTCCCCTTAGATGTGTAGAGGTACTGCTGTCATTTCACTATACTCTTTAAATGTAATTACATAATTAATTCCATTTACATCATTTACATATTTAGCTACATAGTTATATTCTCATTCAATTTACGTTCTGTCTCACCAGTTTTAAGTCTGCATAACTGACTTTCCATATACACACATTAGATATAGACCACATTTGTTGCAGTTCACCTACAGAAGAGGTGGCTGAACTATACACATACACACACACACACACACACACACACACACACACACACACAGACACACATATATATATACATACATACATCATCTAAACCGCTTATCCTTCTGGGTCGTTGGGGGTGCTGGAGCCTATCCCAGCTGCCATTGGGCAGAAGGCAGGATACACCCTGGACAGGTCGCCAGTCCATCGCAGGGCAGACAGACAAACATACACATTCACTCACACACTCACACCTAAGGGCAATTAACCATGTCCAATTGGCCTGACTGCATGTTTTTGGACCGTGGGAGGAAACCAAAGTACTCGGAGGAAACCCATGCAGACAAAATGCAAACTCCACACAGAAATATATATATATATATATATATATATATATATATCGCTGAAAGAAAACCACATATCTCCAAAATGATAACTTTACAGAAAAAGGAAAATAAAACTGCTTTATTTTTAATGTAGGTTAATGGAACCAGACGTTTTTCCAAGTTATTTTGGGCTGCTTCTTTTAGTCAGTTCTACATGAAATTTACACACAACGTAAAAGACAACAGGCATTTTCAAATTATGTCAAAAACTGAAAAACAACAGAAACGGAGAAACAACGTTTTATAAATACATATTTTTTTCTATTTCATTATTTGCCGTGAGGTTTTTTCATTACTACTTCTGAAATGTGACATTTTAAAATCCTGCTTTGCTCTTATCTTTGTTTTCTTTTCTTGTTTACCTTCCTTTATGTCTCAGGCCATGTGCTTCTGTTTTTGTCTTGTTATCCTGCTCCTCCTTTTCTCCGCCCTTTGCCACACTCGATCTGTTGCCCCCGTAATTGTTCCATGGTGTTCCCAGTTTGTCTCCTCTCAGTATTTAAACTCCTTGTTTTTGTGCTGCTCCTTGCGTTGTTTTGTGTGTATTCCTGGATTCTGATTATGCAAACTTATTCCTTATATCTTGTACTCCATTCAATTCTGCTTGTAGTTTGTTTAGTGGCTCCTTTAGTTAATTAGTGAGGTTTTTTTTTTTTTGATTAGCTTTACCTTTGTTACTGTTTTCTTGCTGCTTTCACCACAGACACACCCAATAAAACTCCCAGCTCGCTTTTGCATCTTCTACCTTGTCTCCTCAGTCTCCTTCTGTGTTATAGAAGCATTCTATATGATAATTTTGTCAGGCTTGATACATTTATCAGGCTTGATCAAAGGCATGACTAACTAAAAAATGTATGTCTCTTCCGCCCCATTTGAAAACTTTCATTGAGTAAAAACAAAAAAAGAATGTAGTTTGCTTCATTACTCACTAATATAATGTCTCAAACAAGTTGACAATCTCAAAGGATGACACACCACTAGATGAATGTTTCCATTAAACTACTTGTTTGGATCGCTGTTATGACCTCACGTTTTGTCTAGGGTGCTGTGGGATCAGTAACATGTGGCATTTAAAAGACTGAACTAGTGATGATGGATTAAAAGCTTGAGGAACAGACCAATAGAGCTTTTGAAGCCATTTTATTAAAACCAACCACAATAAAACTGGTGTGCTATGATATCTAGTACCACACTGGAAGAGTCAAACTGTGGACAGCAGCAAAGAAAAGAACGAAACAAAACCTAACCACGCTTTCCTACGCTGAAACAAAGTACTTAGCTAACCTAAAAGAAAGAAAGCAAAAGCTGGCCACTCTACACTTCCCTGCCCAGTAACTAAAAGTACATGTAACAGTGCCCACCCTCTGACCTGGGGACCTAGACAGAGTAGACTTCTACATGGTGCGAATGTATAGGCGCACCCCTTTTACCTGTTTGAAATCCCAGGTGGTACAAAACAAAATTAAAAACAAAAGCACTTCCCCTAACAAGAGACAAACTCATACACTTAGTTAAAAGAAGCACTGGTAAAGTACCTAAAACAAAAGCACACTCCCAGCACAAGAGATTAAAAACACAAACTAATACAAAGCACACATCTGACCAGTCCTCTCTCTCTCTTCAGTCATCTTGAAGGCTTCCTTTTAAGGCTGAAGAACCTCCACCAGTTACACTAGCTGGGCCTCTGATTGCTTAGAGGTCCTCACATGACTGATTGCCTTCAAAGGTACACCTGTGTAGGGAGAGACCAAGAGAGAGAGAGAGACAGAAAGAGAGACATACACAAACAAAAAACCCAAAATACATCCTTCCAATTAACAATCACATAATAATCCTTCATATTTAGCTGACGGACCACTGGTCAAGTAAAATGGTTAAGTAGACTCACAAAAACTCTTGCTGTGCAACACACATATTTTGGAAATCCATACACATTTAAAAAATGTACCAAAAAACTTTTTTTTTTTTTTAGATTTCCATAATAATAATAAAAATATATATTATTTTGCAGAAGGATCTTGGAATGACTATCATTCCTAGATCCATTCCTAGATTATCATGTATGAGCTGTAGTATGAATAAGAGAGACAGGGCTGTGTGGGTAGTGATGGAAGCTAATTGCTGCGGTATATTGTAAAGAAATTGGATCTTTCTGTGGGTCATGACTATATACAGTTGTGTAAGTGTATATATGAGAGACCCAATAAAAATTTGGGTCCCCATATGGGCCTGAGTTGTGCCCAGTGGCTACATCACCAGGCCTGATGGTACCAGCTATCTCTGTTTATCTTTCTAGACACATTTTATATATTTTTTCAGATATTTTTCTCACATCTTACTAGATTCCTACTACGTATTTTAAATCCATGAAGTTGTACATGCCTTGCATGGAATCGTTTTATAGATTTATCTGTGAGCAAATCAGTTTTACATTGTTGAAAACAGTGACTCCAAACTTTTGAACTGTAGGGTTAATGGCCATTGCAGAGCTGAAGACTATAGCTTGAGTTACACTGCATCAAATAACATTGTCTACAAAGTAAACTGACCTCTTTATAAGAATCCTAACAGCAGTGTCCAGAGCAGTCCCCAGTAATCTTCTGTCCACTACGATGTGGAGGCAGCCTCTCTGACAGACATACAGATAATAAACACATCTGTGCGGACAAATTGTTTGCTGGCACCACAGCTGATAGGCTAAGGCCTACACATGCACACACACGGAGCGCAGCCGTGGTCGGCTAATCAGCTCATACACTATTTATGATCACAAACAAGGAGCAAGAAAGTGAGTGAAAAAAAAGAAAAAAGAGAGAAAGAGAGAAAGAGTTTCTGAAATAATACCAATAAAAAAGCACGTCAATCACAGATCCACTTCTGTAGCTCTATTATTCACTTTATTTTCACTTACGATGTACAAAGGCGGGAAGAAATCGCAGCGAAGGCTCCTGATGTGTTTTTTCTTGACTGTATCTGCTTTTTAACCTCAAAAAAAGAGAAAAATAATCAAACAGAATTTCAAAGTGTAGTGTCTTTTTTTTAAAAGGGCTAACACGGCTGTACATTTTGTGTAAAATAAACATTTTGACAGTGCAGACACGGCTGCCGAACAACACAGAGTGGGGTTATGGGTGAAGGTGAAAACGAAGCAGAAGGCGGAAACTGCTGAAAGTTCACACAGCATAGCACATTCCCCCGGTTATAATTAATAAAGTTTATTCCGCTTAATTACCGTGATTCATCGCCTAATCTCCATTTGCATTTCTTAGCACATTGAGCCTCAGTGACGCCCCACGTCACGTGACGCTCACGTTCGGCCATTAGTGCAGTAGGTAAAAGGAAAGAGTGTGAAATCTCTCAGGAGGAGAGATTCAAATGAAAGGTGTGATAAGGAACAGAGTTTGAGGGGTTTATAGAATTAAAGGGTTTGTGGGGTTTAGTATGTGGGGTTCAAGGGGTTTGTAGAGTTAAAGGGTTTGTGGGGTTTAGTATGTAGGGTTCAAGGGGTTTGTAGAGTTTAAGGGGTTTGTGGGGTATATTGTGTGGGGTTCAAGGGGTATATAAAGTTTAAGGGGTTTGAGGGGTTTAGTATGTGGGGTTCAAGGGGTTTATAGAGTTTAAGGGGTTTAAGGGGTTTGTGGGGTTTAGTTTGTTGGGTTTGAGGGGTTTATAGAGTTTAAAAGGTTTTTGCAGTTTGTATGGTATGTGGGCTTTGAGGGGTTTGTATAGTGTGTGGGGTCTGAAGGGTTTGCATATTGTGAGGGGTTTGTATGGTGT